CACTGGGATCCAGTCAGTGGTTCCTTTATCCTCCAGGAACTGCCTGCATTTCTCATCACATGAGGCTGGGCACTGTTGTCCATCAGGAGGAACCCAGGACCCGCTGCATCAGTGTCTGACAGTGGAGCCAAGGATTTCATCCTAAGATACCTAATAGCAGGCTTGTGTGTCCCTCCATGGATATGTCTCCCCAGACCATCACTGACACACCACCAAACTGGTCATACTGAACGATGTTACACCAAAATGTTCTCCACAGTTTCTCCAGACTTTTTCAGTCTATCACATGTGCTCAGAGTGAGTCTGCTCTCAGCGAGCCTGTTCTCAGCTCCTTGTAATCTCCTTCATGCTCTTTAGACTGCGCTGGGAGACACAGCCAGCCTCCTGGCAATGGCAAGTATTGATGTGACATCCTGGAGGAGTTGGGCTACCTGTGCAACCCTTGCTCATGTTACCAGTAGTGACACTGACCCTAGCCAAATGCCAGACTACTGAATAAACAGTAAGAAACGAAGAGTGAAAAGGAGGCACGTTCAGATCAGTTCATAGCTATACTTGTTATACTTGACCCAGAAACAGAAAAAGGGTTACTCCGTTAGTTCCTTGCCTTTTTTTTTGTAAGTCAAGGAGAGGTTATGTCAAAGCAGCTCCACTGGGACAGCAGGGAAGAATGTTATCAAAAAGCCTAAACCAGCAGGTGGAGCTCAGCAGACTGCAAAGAATAGTTTAGTAGTGTTTGAGTCATGGTCACTGTGACCTTCCGATATGTCCAATCAGACAAGCAAACAAGCTGATATTATGACATCACCGTCCTAACACCTACCTGTAGGCATGTCTGATATGTCATAAGGACTTATTGTTTGTCCACTGGAATAATGTACATTTCTGTTCCGCTTTGCAGGACTGTCTCGATGAATGACTGATTATCATTAGCGTCACTAGTCGGCTGACTTCTCTCTGATGCCATGCATCACCACGCACTCATTTCTAATCAAGGTACAGAGTTTTGCTTAGGAAAGGGAAAGCCTGCAGATGACATCATGCAGCTCCATGGACAGCTGTCAGAATGAGTCAGGTGGTCCTAGGCAGACTGAAAGTCGCTGTGTTCCTTATGTCAGGGAACAAAATTCCTCCAGCAGCGAGGCAGCTTCCAGTTCAGTCACCGTCAAAGCATGAGTAACTACTTTGACAGGAAGCTATAACATACAGTAGCATCCATGACTGAAAAAAACAATAGATAATAACACAATTGTGAAAGATGCTTACCTTTAGTAGTCACCGTGAGCATTTCTTTTATCAGCGTGGAGCAGTGCCAAGGACTGTGATTCAATAAGATGCTGTGTCCCCTGAATAGAAATGTAGAGCTAATCTATAGAATCAATGAAAGCTAAGAGGAAAGATAGCATAAATACCATTTTTGTATTTTGATTTTTGTAATATTCACCTGACGTAGCGCAAAATAATATTTTCTATTTTTCTAGTGCAACACTCTGAAGATTTGCATGCACTCAATTATACATTCAGTATGTGACAAACATGTGCACTTCCACATAATGAGAAGGAATTATTTATAGCGTGCTGCGCTCTTATCATTTGTCGGGCACAACAGGTACAAAAAGATGAAGTTCAAGGACACCCAAACTTGTCCTCCCAGCAAGCTGTTACTTAGACAAACATTCATCATTCAAGAACACAATTACACCACATCTAAACCGTCTTCTCTACGGAGTATTAATTGGATAAACAGATCTCTGTTACACTACGTACATGCCGGTTTTCTCTGTTCTACACCGAAATTAATAATGCACACAAGATAGTTCACTGCTGTATCTCCATCCCAAAGAATTTAATATGGAAATTGAATCCATGACTCCTTAAGTTTTAGCATGGTCAAAACTCTATGGCAAAAACAATTACTTCACAAATTATTATTGCACAAAAAAAAAAAACCAAAACATTAAGGAGTGTCTTTCTGAAAGATAATTATATTCCGAGGCCTTCATTAAGAGCTTGATAAGTACATTTGTAAGCTCATTCTCTCCAAGACTGTAATTCATGCTGCACTGGTGGAGCTTCTTAATTAACACCTACTCAAGCCAACAAATAGAAGTGTGTTAGTTGTGCTTGGCTGCAGGACAAGACAGCATTGTTGATTGTAGTGTTCTGTGTGTCCACTGCTTTGAATTACTGATGACTGTCCTCTCTTATTGGAACCATGACGTGAAGCACTGTAGAAAAGTCTTATCTCACCCATCAGTTCTTCATATTTTGCTTGGACAATACAGATCTATTGTGCAGAGATCTATTGAAACGTGCAAACATGTATAGTTTGTGCGAATCTAACAGTTTTGAAGCTTCATTGAACCACACTGCTTCAATAATGTTGAGGTTCAGGCTCTGTGGGTGCCAGTCAACGACTGATAGTGTTCCATTGTGTGTTTTTCTATTCAGTTATGCTTTCACTGCAGTGGCAGTGTGTTTGGGATCATTGTTATGCTTGAATATGAAGCTGTTGCCAATCAGACGCTTTCCACTTGGTATTGCATGATGGATCAAAATCTCATGGTACTTTTCTGCATTCATAATTCAGTCAGTTTAGACAAGATATCCAACACCACTGGATTAAATTCAGCCCCAAACCTCCACTGTATTTTCCACATGGCTGTGGACACTCACTGTTGTTCCTCTCTTCTGAGCTACACCATACATTCTCATAAAAATTAAAACCCACAATGTCAAACTTGGATTAATTGCTCCAAAAGACCTGCTGCGACTCCTTTTTAGGTCTGAACTGACACCCCAGTGTTGGTTTTGTGTGTACAACATCATCATAACAATGTTGGCTCAACATTGCAACTGACCAGTCCCGCTGTCTGAGCAAACCAACACAAGTAATCTAAATTTGGCTAAAAGAAACGCTAACTTGATCATATGTTTGTTATATTGCATAAAATATTTTTTTTAAAAATGAAACACTTACCATTTGTTCCATAAGAGTTTAATATAAACAAAGTGATTTGTTTTCTTTTTTCTCAATATTCCAAAGCTATGACGTCACAACAATATGACTGGTCAGTAGCAATGCTGACCAACATTAACAACACCAGCACAGAGATAAGAGATTTTTTAGTCCAGCTCTTATCTAATATGGCATACTTCAGTCTTTTTATTCCTCTGTTTGCCTTTAGTGGCTTTCCTGAACAGTAGACCAGTTGTACCTCTCAGGTCAGGTCTTTGCTGGATTTTTTCCCCCCTTTCTCAAGCACATGATTTTCACAGGTCCGTGTTAAGTAGCTTAACAAACACAAAAACACATTCCTTTGAAAGTGGTCAGGTACAAGGACTGAACTGAAAAAGGCTAAAAAGCAAACAATGGCAAAGAAAAGCCTGGAGGACTTGCAAGAAAGTCTGGCTCCTTGGAAGCAAAATGTTACAAAATGAGGGGTAACTCAAGACTTTTTCACAGTACTGTATTTCTTTAAGAGGTGTCTTGTGCCATAAACACACATAACATTAGGAGGATACAGATTGAACTTAATTAATAAACTATTAATTGCCAGCTCTGCAGCTAGTTGTATACAACCAAGAACCAAGCACTGAAGCTACGACTGCTATACGTGTGTGCGTGTATGTGTGAATTAGAAAAGTGAGGCTAGAGGGGTGGCACCTGGCCTCTTTAGATAATCTATTTATGTCTTTCACACTTCATCAAGCCTGAACCAAAATACCCAGCACTTGAATATGTTTATCAAATGTCTCAGTATTTTGCTCTTGACCTTGTAAGAGCTGAATTTGCACATGTTTGCGTATCCACAAAGCATATCTAGATATAGATATGCTGAGTAATTTAATTGTCTTGAATGCCTGCAGTGTTTTCATATGATGTTTATTTATTAATAATAAATGAGTAAGTGGTGCTTCAATGTGCCCATTGTGTCTGTGCACCTGATGCCACATCAGCTGGCTTTCCCTAGGGGATTCTGTTATACAGAGTTGCTAACATGTAAAACCCATTAGCATTAACAAAAGATAAACATAATTTTAGTTTAAAACAAATCGAGCTGCTCTAAATTGAGTTAACATTAAAAATTAAATAACTGAAAGGAAGATAATCAGCAAGTTAACCTCTTAAGCCCCAACGCCCCCTGATATGGGGGCAAAAAGCAGGAGATCAGGTAGGCTTGGGGCTTAAGAGGTTAACAGAAGGTACAACATTTTGCATATTTATGTTTTATGAAATATGTGCTAAGACAAATAGAAGTACAGTAAATAAGGAAAAAACAGAGTTTGCACAATTCTAATGACTTTTGCACAGCACTACGCAAATAGCTATTTGTGAGTCTTCGTGATACTTCACAAAAAGATGGTTTCAGTTTGAAAAGGCTCTGTTTTACATTCTGCTAGCGACGCACACACAGAGAGACAGTAAGAAAATAAGCAGCAGACAAAAGAGCCACTGCCTGTGGTAATAACCTTAAACCTTGGAGTTTGTTATTGACACCACCTCATTGCAGAGTGGTGCAGTGCAGAGAGGAAAGTAAAGACAGGAGACAAAGGTTAACAATAATACGAAATAATGAACTGATTTGCTCACGGAGAATTTCACTGTTTTTTAATGATTATTTTTTCTGTTGTGACAGACTTAAGAAGAGTAAATCTTTTTATGGCTTTCTAGTTAGCCGTTATGATTGAATGTCGAAGAAATTCTGGCAGAAAAAAACAAAACAAAAACTATTACAACAAAATGTCACGTCTGAAAATCCCCTCAAATCAAATGTCATATTTAAAAATCAGATTTCTTCATAATAACTACTTGCAGTTTATTTTCCATCCTCTGTCAGAAGTCTGTTCTTTCGCCCAACAGTTTAAATAGATCTTCCCTACTCCTGCCTTTATGGAAGCAGTAATTAATCCATATATGGACATACACAGCGAGCGCCACGCCTAAAACACCTCCTGGTTTTACGGACTTGCTGTGGCCCGTGTCCTCCCTTCCCCGCTGCCTGGAAGTTCAGGAACTTGGTCACCGCCCAGCGCCCCCTCCTCCTCCTTTTACCTCATCTATTGTTGGGCAATACGTTACTCCATCGAAATTCTCTTAACCGAAACTTTTCAGCTGACTTGCTGGAGCTCTTGTGATACTTTTCTGTATAGCCGTCGAGCGGAGGGAGGAAAACTTTCGTGTTTATCGTGAGTGAGCGGCGCAGTTAAACTAAGTCCGTGGGGCGAGGAAACGGGAGGAAAACTTTTGACGCAAGGAATTCCGTAATTCCCATTCCTCCATTTTGAACTTTTAAACTTCACTTTGTCTAGCGGACTGTTGTCGGTGAGTATATAACGAGTCTTTCGTACTGTATGTACAGTGCATACTTAAACAAAATGAGTGGACTAGTTATTTGGGCCATCTGTTTCGGCGGTAAAGTTTGTCGCAGAAAGCAGGCTAACAGTTGTTTGTCGCTTAGCATTAGCTTTAGCTCATCGCTGTGTTTGGAGAGCTCCGTGTTACAGCAGGTAACCTGCATTACGCTAAGCTAAACTGGTTTTAATATTACCTGTAGCCTGCTGTTAATAAAGTATTGAAAATGACTTAGATGGACCGTTATTGGGTGTTAAATGTGTACACGAGTATTTTCTGCTTTGTATATTCTCGTTTAACTGTTTTTGACGGGGTAAAACCGACGTCTGTTTAGGTAGTTTTAGCAACAGGTGGAAGTTGAGCTAATGTTAGCACACCAGGTGTTTGACCCACCCTAGTGCTTCTCAGCAAGTGTTAACATGTTTCTGTTTTGTTACGTAATTTTTCCTGTTTGGATACATTATATACACTTATTAGTACCTACATATGGCTTAGTTTGACAGTTTTAAACCGTTTATATTATTTCTTTTGCCCAAATCGCGTACATAAACCCTCAATCCCAAACCTGCTAGACTGTTTCGATTTCATTTGCAGAGATTTGTAGATATCACTTTGCGACATGTACCACGCCCATACAGAGCAGTCGAACGCAGTTTCTCCCACGCTGGCCCAGATTAACCTTCGTCTCATGACTAGCATTTTAACGTTGCTTTCAGTGGAAATGCGTCATGTTGTCTGGACAAACAGACGTCTTCCTCAAACAACCTTTACAGAAATTGTTTTTTTTTCCTCAATACACTGCCCAACATTATCAGTTTCACTGCGTGTTAACTCATGGGTAGAGACTCTGTGTATATTGGAAAGAAGAAAAGTGGTTAATAATACAGTAGAACTGAAAATAGCTCTAATATATAACGATTCACTATAAAATTAGAAAGCCATGGTTGCCATGTTACTCTCTTAATATTTTTGTACTTTTGTTGGTAATGTAGGCTAATAGCTAGTGTTGTAATTCCTCACATAATACAGCTGACCAACTTTTCAGTTGAAGCCCCTCAGCCCTCGGGCCATCCTGATTATCCCTGCCCCTCCATGTTTGATAGCTAATCAATGGAGTCACAGCCACTGCCTGAAAAGAGAAATTGAAATTGGGCCACTGTGTTGCTGTGCTCTGCCGTTGGCATTCATTCTGAAAGCAATGGAGCACTGCTGGCTCTAACAAGGACTTTAATAATTTCTTTAATGCACCGAGTTCTAGACACTAGTCTGATAATCTGACAGAAATCTTGATTTGTGAAGAGAATTTATAACTTTTAAGTCATTCAGGGAAGCAAATATTGAGTTAATCAAAGGACAGAGATGTCCATTTTTTCTGTAGTCTACATTTTCTGCTTCAGAAGAATTAATTTGTCATTTGTTTTTGTTTTTTCTCTTTTATTTTTTTATTTTTTTATTTTTTTTTGTTAAAACAGTAAACTAGACATCATGACTAGCAACACCGCACCAAACATCAACTTTAAATGGGACCCAAAGAGCCTGGAGATCCGTACTCTGGCAGTGGAAAGGCTACTGGAGCCTCTGGTCACACAGGTAATACAACAAGTATTAATATTATTAAAATGAGGCCCCTTACACATATTATTTCACAAAACAGCAAAGTGAAAAAATGTGATTTATTTCTGTGGTTCATTCTTGCATTTCACCATTTTAGAACTGTTATTTTGCCTTACTATGTCATATGTTGTTTGTTTTTTAGACTTACCATGATTTATTAACTGTAGGCAGGTATATAATATCCTAATAATCTCTGCCATAGGTCACCACTTTGGTAAACACCAGCAATAAAGGCCCATCTAACAAGAGGAAGGGACGCTCCAAGAAGGCCCATGTTTTGGCTGCGTCAGTGGAGACTGCTACCGAGAACTTCCTTGAAAAAGGCGAAAAGATTGCAAAGGAAAGTCAGTTCCTCAAGGATGAGCTGACTGCTGCTGTGGAAGATGTCCGCAAGCAAGGTATATTGAAAATACGTATTGCAGCAGTGTGGCTTCATGCTTGTACAGAGTGCCTCTTAAAATGGGACGGATGAAAAATAAACCACAAGCTATGTATGCATCATCTGCTCCAGCAAAAATCCTTGAAATAAGAATATGGTTTGAGTCTGATAGATTTCTTTTAGAAATGGGTTTTTCAATGAGGCCATTAATAGACTTTCAGTCTAAGCATGCACATGGTTCAGATTCATTTCATGCTAGATGGTGTCATTCCCGTACCTTCTGTGGGGATCAAATTTAACCACTTTTCCCAAAGAAGCCTGTGTGTTCTCTTAGCGCAGTGTTAGGATACTCCCCAGTTATCTGAACTTGAGAATCAACCTCACCATATTCAGTGTTTTATTTTCTGTGCTACCTCCCATTTCTTGTCCTTTGTTTTTGTTATAGAAGGACACAAAGATGTGGTTATATTATAGAGGTTTGCATAACATCAAATCAGAATTATTTTACTTGTATTTCTTAATGTTCAGAACTTATTTTTGGGTAGTGTGTGGGGTATTCTTGGCTTTTAAAAATTCTTACCGAGCAGTCTACTATAAACTATGTAGTACTCACACGAAGAACTAAATTCCAATTTAAATCTTGTGTTTGCCAGAAATCATAAAATGTATACAAATTAGGGTGTAACATGTAATTGCACGTAATGTACTGATTGCCAAGTATCAACAGTTGTGTAAAAGAAAAAGGTTTTGTATGATAGAAAATTTAGAGGATTTATGTTATGGTTAGCATCAAAAAGATTGATGCCGATTTACAGTTTTATTATATTTCTTCTAACATTGGAGTGATATCACACACATTATCTGGGCCCTACATTATTGCGCTCATCTCTGCGGAACTGGGGTTTTATTATTAGCACAGTGGGTTGAGGAAGGTTTCTGTACCCTTTAACAGCCCACTGTTAGAACCGAGACAGGGCACAAGTTTGCACCTACACCTGGATCTGCGTACAAGTCTGTAAGGTTTATTTGTACCCAAAGTTGGCGGTATTCACGATTTTTCCTGGCTCAGAATAGGTCTTTGGATTTGACTCTGTATACAAGTCTGATTGATTCACATAGCCAAAGAGTGTGTTAGCAGCCTTAACAGAGGTCAATACACTTCCTGTGGTTTGGACTGTTTTGATAAACAAAATGCATTTTAGCTTGGAAAAACTTCAAAATCACAGCCCTGATCATTTTTCTTTTATCTAAGGCCAAAAAGTTTCTGGGGGTGTTGTTTTTTCATTTTTTATTTTTTAAATGGAATAAACCCTGATATTGCAGATAACGTCAAAAGTGATCCGAGGAGGCTTGTGTTGGTGGAGAGATGTCTGTTATTCTGTGTAATTAGTCATCTTACTGGGGTGATTAGTGGTATACAAACTCATGTGGCAGAAGTGACACATGAGCTGTGCACTGTTGTTCCCGCTTTTTAATCAGAATGCTTCCCTTTTTAGTTGTTGCCACGGAGACCAGAGAAGGAAAAAAGTTTGCAGATGTCACCAGTGATGTCAAATTTATTTAAATGGCTATATCCACCTGCCTGGTGGGAGGCCTCCCACGCACAGTCCATTTCAAATTCAATTTCATGACTTCCTCAAGTCTCAAGACAGGGATCCACCATAAAAATCACCAGCCAATGCAATTACAATTTGTCTTGCGATAGCAGGTTCCATCATCTTAACAACCACACAGCAAGTCTCATTGACTCTCTCTTTTTCCGTATATCATATCCGTCTTTTGACACGCTAGGAGACCATTGAGACCAGGGAGCTATGACTGGAGGGTGGCTGTTATCACCTTCTGAAGTGACATCTTTGTAGCTCTGTCCTTTTTTTCCCTCTGCCCCCCTTCCCCCCGATGCCCAGTGAGTTAGATGTCCCCCGCTCAAGCTCAGCTCTGAGTAGTTGGGAGGTAGAAGACATGTTGCTAGATAGCCTGTGCTGTGCTCAGTGCCCAGGAATGTTACTGTAGTTGTGGTAAGCTGTCACTGGGCTGGAATTCAGTGGCTGTTGTTAGCTGGTGCCTAGGCCTGGCTGTCAGCTATGCCATGCTGCTCAGTGGAGCGTGCCTAGACTGATAATATAGCCATTGAGTAGGGTAAAACCACCCTGGATTCAGAAAGCATTTTCTACCCAGCTGTGGATTACCAGCTGTTTAAAAGGAAACACAAAGAAATCACTGACATAATAATAAATAAAAACTCTGTATATATTGCATGTTCAAGTGGTTGTTGCAGCAAGTATGCCCTCTTTTCCCTTTTAAAGACTTTTTGTTTACTCAGTCCTTTCTGTCTGCTCTTGTCCTTGTTCCCTCTCTGTTGCCCTTCCCTCTCAGTGTCTTTGTTGTCCTGCTGTTTTGGAGCCTTACTGTGTGATATACATTTTAATCATTTCATCATGCACTTGGTAGGCCGCAGGTGAGCATTAGACAGATGGAAGTTTATTAAAGGAGCACTGATCACTATCTGCCCCCTGAAAATGGCCTTATTGATTTTGTTCAGGGGGGAGTAACAGCCTAAGGGTAGCAGACTGTGTTTGAGGTTTGTGTTGTCGATCATTTGCACAAACTGCTTTCGCTCTGTCAGACTAAAATGGGCAGAATCTGCGCGAGTGTTGTTTTGCCTTTTGTGGTGCAACTTTTAGTTAAGTAAACAATGCTTCACTGAAGTAGGAAGAAAAAGTCCAAATGTGTATTTTAAAAATACCTTCTTTACTGTAAAGTTACAAGAGAAATGATTGATTTTGTTTAATTTAATTAAAAAGTTATTATTGGTAGCAAGTAGTGTCTCAATAAATGTCCCAGGAAACATTTACATCTTTGTGTTAATCTGAGGTTTCAATAATTTCTTTACAACTCACTTTTCTCAGGTATTTGTAGTATTGCTCTATTTTAGATCTGCAGGGATTATTTAATGAATCTGTTGGACTGTTGGTGGTCTATTGGAGACTGAGTGGTAACTGTAGTTTTGTTTTTGAACCCAGTTGATGATATGACAGTTGCTGCTGATGTGGTGCTGCTAAAGCCACAGCCACTTCTGGCTCACAGATGGTCACAGCAGTGTTGTCCGTTGAGATACACGCGCCTTTGAATGACTGAAGCTTTCTACATTTGCCACATACAGTAAAAAATGTATCATTTCTGGGAGGAAGTCTATTTGCTTGTCTGTTTGACGTTGTAGTGTTTATATAAACTTTAAAATTGGTTCTCTGAACAAACCACAAAGCAGTATTTTGGCAGCGTGGATCTAGTGTGAACACAGCAGCCAAGCTGCTTTGCTTCCAACGCTCTATCTTCCTTTACAAGCTAGAAGGGACACGTTGGATCCCAAAGTGTTAAATCTGTCCATTTCTGCTTATTTGTTTGTGTTAATTTCTTTGAACAGTGAAATTTTTGAAGACGGTGAGTAAAATTAGTCATTTTAACTGCCTTTGTTTCTGTTAAAATGGAAATTTAACATGAAATTTTGACAGTTTGGGGGAAGACGCCATTTAAAAAAAAAAAAAAATTCTTGGTTTATTCATTAGGTTTTTGGATTTTGTCCTATAATTGTTTTTTTTTTTTTTTTGGTTAAACATTAATCACTTGTATAGTAAAATGTGTGACAGTGAAATAATGGCCTTATTTACATTTTGTGTAAATAATTTGAAAGCGTCCATGCAATAACGTACACCACAGTATAGATACTGTCCAGAACTAGTCAGTCAGTTCCAGCATGCATCAGGCAAGCTAGGAAAATGGCTTCTGTGTTAGCACTTCTATATTTCACTGTTCCCCCAAAAATAGAGCTGCTATCTAAATAATCAGGTTGAGATATGTGAAGTGTTTGGCAAGATGCTAATAACTGAAGGCAAACATTAACAGCTAAATTAATTTTCATTCATCTTTATTCCACATCACACTGGCCAAAGAAAATTATTCATTCTGCTTGTCATATCTCCTCTCCAGTTTCTATAAAGCTGTACCACATGCTAGAAAGGTAGACACAACAGGTTTTTTGTTTTGTTTTTGTTTTTGCTTTTTGTGGCTGCGCATTTCTGGGGCAACAATAGTGGTTTTACGGTCTTTCTCAGAGTTTGAGGTTAAATGTGTCTCCACTGAAGTAAACTACTGATTTCCTGCTTTGTTCATGACTACAGAATCTATTTATGTGCCCAGTCAACTGTGCAGGCCCATCCAATGTAGAACAAAGCATGGTGCTGGACAGAGCAGACACCGAGCCTTTTGTTGTGGTTTTGACCTCTTTTTGTGTGTGTGTGTGTGTGTGTGTGTGTGTGTGTCCGTGTGTGTGCTTGTGTTTATCCATGTATAACCAGAAACACTGACAAATGCCTATATCTCAGATGAAGATTTCAAAAACAAAATGTGTTCAGTCATTGGTCACTCCCTGTAGGCAACTACGACTATTAATGATTTTATTTCACTTTTCTTTTTTTGTCTTTTAATGAACAACAAAAAAGTGAGTCATCGCACTGAAAAGCATTTTATGCAGATTTTGTGATACATGGCTTGCTGTGTACAAATGTGTGTCTCATATCTCTAAATCACTGCCTTCGTGAGGCATGTGCCAGGTAGGGCTGGGCAAGTAATCAGATTTTCATCTCTGTTGTCATATGGGCTTCCGGCATTTTATGAAAACAAAATAATTGGTAAACAGTGATTATTCTTCTACTTTCATTTTTGCTATGCTGTCCTTGTTTTAAACACAGTGGTGCACTTTCCCCCCTTCCTAAAAGGTTCAGCTCATCTGCTGACTAAAGGAGAACCTTCGGTCAACAGTATCCATTTAGAGGAAGCAGAACTCGCGACATTTATGTAGTTCAATCCTTGGAAGGATTATCAGTTGTCTACAGCTGTCTTTTCTCTGGATTGCACAGGGTCTCTCACCTAGTCTGCTTGCAGTAGCAGATGACAGTTGGCTGTTGGCTTCGTCTCTCTGTCATTCACCGTATGGTTGTTGTGCAAGTCTCACGGGGCTCACTAGTCCGCTGCTGTCTGTGGCTCCCTTTGCACCCTTCTGCACCTGCAGACATCCTGCAGTGAATACAGGCCGGTAGAGACTTGGCAGTTGCCCATGCGAGACAGACTTTATAATCACTAGTCAGGGCCCAACTCCTTACTGGATGAGCTGCTGTTGTCCATTTAAGTTTTTTTAAAAATATTTTTGTCTTATAACTTTACAATTCTCAATAGAATTATATTTAAAAGTATCTACATTTTAAGCACAAATAAATAAAATAAAATATTGTCCCAAATAATACTCATTATTTTTCCCATAATAAATGTGATATCCATGTTAACAGCTCAGTAGCATGTTTTCTTTCATTTATTTTTCTTTTTGTTACTGTGAAAGATGGGAAAACTCTTTCCCAGTCACAGATGCCTGGGGGTTCAGAAAGAAAAGGTCATAATGGTTTAAAATGGTTGCTTTTGGACAAATGCTTGTAAAAATGTTTTGAACAGGTTTTCATGTAAGGTTTCCGTTTAAATCTTGGATTTGGAGCTGATTTTTTTATTTATTTATTTATTTTATTTATTTTTTGTGCTTTGTTTCTATACCTGAAGGCGAGTCAATGCGTCAGGCCTCTGGAGAATTTGCAGAAGACCCCTGTTCATCTATGAAGAGAGGCAATATGGTTCGTGCAGCCAGGGCCCTCCTGTCAGCAGTTACGCACTTGTTGGTGCTGGCAGACATGTCTGATGTCTACAAACTTCTCGTGCAACTTAAACTGGTGAGATGTTAAATTCTCGAGCATAATATACATTGATAATTCTAATTAAAGTGTCACTAACAATGAAGTGAATGCAGAGTTGGTAGAATCAGTTTGAATTAGTATTTCTATTTGTCAGTAATTGCCTCAACCTCTTCATTCAAGTGCAAATTGAAATCTTGCATTCTCTCAAACTTTTGGGAAGAGCTTGATGTCTTAATTGACCTAACTCATACTTGGATTTTAAAAGCAAGCATAGACATTACTAATCTAAGTTAACACTTAATGTTGTGCAAACTGCTAATTCAGTCAAGTACTGCTTGTGTTTCAATTACTGTCTTCAGTATTGCAGCAACTCTTTCTATCTGTGTGGCTCAGGTGGAGGACAGTCTGGCCAAAGTGCGCAACGCAGGTACAGAACAGGATTTGGGAATCCAATACAAGGCCTTGAAACCAGAAGTGGACAAGCTGAATGCCATGGCTGCCAAGAGACAGCAGGTAATTGGAAAAAAAGTGATAGACAGGAGCAGAGTTACAGAATCTGTATTATAGCTTGAACACGGTTGGAAATTTTTGAGTGACTTCAGTACTTGTAACAAAAAACGTGCACCAAACAGCACAGTGACAAGTGACTATAAAAGTCTTGAGTGAGAAAGAAACATGTCCCAAAATTTATATTAAATTCAGCCTTCTAATTAGTATACAAGTATCGGAGTGATTTGTGTTTTTAAAATGATTATAGCAGGGCTATATAGCTATATATATATGATTATAATGGGCTTCTTTTTCTTTTCTTTTTTTTTTTTAAATCAGTTACTAGCTTGTCTCCAAAATCAAAACTTTAGATTTTAGCATCAATAAAATGATGCTAAAATCTACACAAATATTGTACACTCCCAAATCATTCATCCATCAATTTTATTCCACTTATTCAGTTCAGGGTCACTGGAGTCTATTCCAGCTGTCATAGGGCTGTGAATATAATATAAAAGTGAAACCTTGTTTGCAATTGAAAATGAAGGTCAAACAGACCAAAATGTCAATTGCCCTCCGACATTTATTATCTTAAGCTACTTAGCACATCATACTATAACATTTTTTTAATGGTGTAATGTTTTGAAACTTGCTTTTGGACATTTATTTGACTTTGCTGATGGAGATGGAGGAGAGGAAGTGGGTTGTGACCTTTTGCCAATGTCCCAGCGTGCTGGAATTTGAATAGTGGACTCACTGCTTTGGGAATTGGTGACCAGTAGTATGTTCCCCTTCTTGGCCATCGAGTCATCTAACTGATAATAGTTTTGAGAGAAAATTACTTTTTTTTTAACTACAACATTTGGGTGTGGATGGAAAATGTTTAACAAAAGTGAAATCAGGAAGTAATAGGGCTTAATTGCAAATGAGTAGTAGATAAAAGCCTTGGGAGTAGTCAAGTTGGAGCTGAAGTTGTTAGTGTATGTAAGCTAGTTTTTTTTTTTGTTTTTTTTTTTGTAAATGTATAATAAATCTACAATGGGGTAGTGATCACCATCTCCTCTCCTCCTCCTGTGAATCTGTAACTAGAGTACAATGCTATGGTCTGAATCGTGATGTATTAAATCGCAAAGGCACATTATATTGACCTGATTATGACTGTATTTCTGCAAGGGATGGAAAAAAATCTGGGTCATCTACAATAAACTGCTACACTTCGTGTCTTTGTAAGGGCATGACAAGTCCATTTTGAATATAAAGTATATTACCACACTACCTCCCGTAGCTGTTCCTCCTCAAAGTTTAACATTTTTATCATTTTTGTTCTTTCTGGTCTTTTTTTTTTTTTTAAATTTAATTCTTCTTAATTCTAGGAATTAAAGGACGTTCAGCACAAGGACCAAATGGCTGCTGCCCGTGGGGTGCTACAGAGGAACATCCCATTGCTGTACACAGCATCCCGTGCCTGCCTGCAGCATCCTGACGTGGCAGCATACAAGGCCAACCGTGACCTGATCTACAAGCAGCTGCAGTCTGCAGTGTCCGGCATCTCCAATGCTGCCCAGGCCACTCCCACCGGAGATTCAGCACTCAGCCAGTCAGGAGGGGGTGGAGAGCTTGCCGATGCCCTCAACAATTTTGATGTAAGTCAAATGAGTGGCTTACAAGTCACAACTTGACTTGTCACACTTCCAGGTATCTGCTTAATCTAGAAAAGCATGACATTTCCTAAGTCTAACAACAAAGGCCTGACTAGGATGAAACATTAGACTTGGGTCAGAATGCTAATATATAGAACTAACCAAACTGACTCATGAAATGACCAAAAACCCCCAAAGTTAGTGAGGTACATAGACAAACTTGGGACATGGCTTTAAGGCACATGCTTGACTCACTACTACTCCATTCTTTGAAGGACATAGATTAGTCCGTCTTTATGAACGCATCATAAGGAGGGGGACGGAGAGGGGGTGGAGATATAGCCTCAAAGCTGTATCACAACATTCAATGGAAATTTGCTATATTTCTGACGATATAGGACATAAATAAATAATTAAATAAATAAAAATAAATGAGGTATTGCAGTTTGCAGGCATCAACATGTAGAGCAAACAAAATAAAGGTCATCTTCTGTCCTTTTCCAATGAGCTACTGTCACTGATGACGCACTGCCTAATCTGAAGTGCGTATTTATTGAAACAAGTTGCCAACAGCAACATTACAGTGCAGAGGTAGTGACACAGCATCAGTCAAATTTAACCACGAAAGTAAAAGTATAACTGCCATATGCTTTTAAAAATGACTAAAGTAACTTGAGTCTTAGAGCTTCACATTATTGTTGCATAAAATAAAATTTAAAATGGAAAAGTATTTTTTACCTTTGATGAGGATGTGTGATGGGTCAGGTTTTACAAAATGTATTGCTTAAGAAAAATGAACTTGAATGGTATATGAAACGTGTGATAATGTACTCATAATATTTATATTAAAACAACATCAGGATAACAGCTGGAAAACACAAAGCTAATCAACTTAATGCTGCCTGGGGTGATAAATGCAGAGAAGATTAACCTGATTTCTCTTCCATTGTCACTTATTCTGTCACACTTGCAAAGTAACTTATTGTTTACAAGAGATTTTTCATGTTAAGATAAAGTCCAAAGACATTCAACAAATCCACGAGACAAATTAAGCTCCACAGAAGTACAGGTTTCTGTTGTGTCCTCTCTTTTGCTCAATGAATTATTCATCTTGTATTGGTTATTAAGTCATTTCGCAAGTAGCAGTGTCTTGATGTGTTGCTCATACTGAGACACTCTGTATTCGTGTGATTGATGCAATTCGCATGCTCATGTTTTATTAGCCAGTGGCTGTATGATGCATTGTTTAATTACTCATAGTTATTGCAGACCATGACGTTTCTGCTGGTTGACATGGGAGGTTTGGGAGTTGCTTGCACAGTTATTCCCGGCCTAGAATGTGACCTGTGGGAAGGGTGACTGCGCGTAAGCAAGATCTGCATGCAAAGATAATGAGTCTGTGTTGCCATTAGTAAAAGAAAGCAGTGCTTCTTCCTCAGTAAGTGAAACTCGAGTTAACTGAATTTGCTAAACAAAATTTGCTTTCTAAAAATTATTTGGTAATGGCCAAAGCACCTATTTATTTCATCTAGAGCCGGGAGATACTTATTTGTATCTCTCTGAAATTATTAGTCAATTTGACAGTTAAAGATTTGTACCAACAAAGATGGACATCTTTGGTTAAACAACCTTTTTTTTATTTATTTTTTTTAATGTGTAACACCAGTTAATTGTTGTTTCTGAGATCTTATGCCATGCACCAGGCTGCAGTGCCCCCCTTGTGCACTTTCTCTCAGGGGAAATGTAAACAAGGAACCTGAAAGACAGACATGTGAACCAGCATGTTTCAGAAGTATGATATAGAAAATGAATGGCTCTATGTAGGGTGTAATCTGGTGTGGTTGTTAGTGGAGAAATGTGAACCCACACTAACATGCGGGAAAAGAAGGCTCCTGCTGTTTGCGCTGCTAATGTCAACCACACTCTGCAGGCTAATAATCAGGTTTTTATTTATTTAGTTTTTTGTGCGCGTGTGCAATCTTATGTGTGATGTGTATTGTTTTTAGTATTTTAGTGAAGAATTGGCTTTGGAAGGCCCTTAAGTGGTTTTGTTACAGTTTTTAGTCTTTTTGCTGTTTATTTTGTTTTGGGTCCTATAACTAGCGAATTGGTCACAGGCAGTTGCTAACGCTGCTAGGTAACCCTCTAATGTATTTACTTCACCCTCATATGTCAGCACTACCCTTCACTCCTGTTGAAGGGTAGTTGTTTGAAATACTCACCTGAAAGTTGAGAGAAATAACTCAGGATCTACTCACTTGGTTGTTAATGCTTATTTCGCCTGCCATGACTGTAGGCTGCCGAAATTCAGCGGCATTCTATTCCCTGATTTCTATATCGCTGCTAGTGTCTTGATGTATTAGATGACCCCTGGACAAAACCATCAAAGGCTTTCAAATTTTGTCACGGTTAGGGTGCCTGAGAATTCCAATGTCTAAAGGATTTGTTGCTTTTCTTTTGTGGAGGTGGTGGACTCAATAAGCCAAAAGGCAAGACGCTCTCAGTTAGATTCAGTACCCGCTAGAATAGGAGAAAAAAACAAAACACTTGACTAAAACTATACTTACGGTAGTACATGTGTTATGTAAGACCATCTTCTTTGAATGTCCTTCATCAACTAAGCATTACTCCCCAAAGTAGTCCCACTTGGGAATATAAAACAATGCCGTTTGTGCATTGAACAAATGTGTATTTTTAGGGCAAGGGTAGGCTGATGGCTGAAAGAAAAGAAAGTTTGATGATATCATAGTTGGCTTGCGTCAAGCCCTTTTTTTTGTTTAAAATATTTTTTTTCACTCTAGAATAAAAAGATCATTAGTATGAAAGCTTTTCTGCCTAACGGCATCATTTCTGAGTGATTAATCAATATTGATCAGGTGACAAAACAGGCCCTTAGATCTGTTGCATCAGTGATTATTTTACAGGTAATTACACACACTCTAAATAAACTAGAATGCAGGCCTTTTCCAGAATACCTAGTTGTGGTGCCCACTTTCAAGTGCAAGGCAAAATTAGCAAATGAGTCAACCCCCGCCATCTCTCTCCCTCTCTCTTTTTTCCTCCTCCTTGTCTCTCTCGTGTGCCTGTTGCCATGGTGATATGACACGCAAGCAGAGGAGGTCAGATGAGACATAACGGAGGGGGGCTGGAGGTGGCGGTGATAGATAGAGGGCGGGCTGCCTAATAAACCACGATTGTAACAGCTGAATTGTTGAATATTTTTCAGCAATAGGGCATCTGCAGCAGTATTGCAGAGTTCATTTCTCCCCGAGTAAGTTGGCTTTCTTAGACTGTCACAAACATTGTATTGATACCTTAACCCTCCGCAGTCACCACCAGCAGCCTTTCTCAGCAGATTTACCCACGTGAAGTGAAACGTTTAAGTTGGCTCCCTTGTCCTAGAGATGTATGGAAAAAAGTGTGGCTTGCTGGAGCACCTCTTAGACTGAGATGAGAGATAAATGCTACCCAACTAATACTTGAAAGAAAAGAAAGTTGTACAGTTGCATGGAAAAGTATGGAGACCCCTGAAGAATATCTGATTGAATTAAAAAGAAAATATATATTTTTTTGGTTTGTCTTTTTTGCATCATCGATACTCTTTTTTGGAAGTATCGATGATGTCCTGTTTTAGGTTACTTCTTGAGTTCAGTCCTTCATCAATATTTACAGTGTTAATATTGTAAACCTTCTTGACTTTGGTTGAGAGGCAAGTGACATTGTTGAGGGCAGCAGTGTTTCAAAAATTGAACCATTTATAACAAAGAACGCTGTGAGCACAGTGAGGAGGGGAAAAAGAAATCCCTATGCTGACGGCCCTTTTGCGCTAAGGACTTTGTAAGTGCTGACGTTCATTGGACTTGTATAGAAAATATATACTGAGAAGGCAAAAAATACAGCCTGTGGAAATTGGTCT